CCAGGCTGAACGATATCAAGACACTGCGACACATTTAAAACCAATGTTGATCTCAACAGGGGCCGGCAATGTTCAAGCAATTCATTGAATGTGGGCTATGGTTCAGGGGGCATGCGCTGGTAGGAACATCCTAATTCAGACTCATTGCAGCATTTCTGCAAAGCTTGTCAATAACTTCATAGGCCACAAGTGATAGACAAATCGATACAGCCTTCCTACGAGTGAGCCTGCAGGACTCTTTGCAAGGACTGGTAGGCTGCTGTAAGGCCGAGCACGGAGCCTACAGCCAAGCTCAAGACTCCTGTTGTGAAGTGGATGGACCAGGGATAGTGATCCACGTGCCTGCACATGACCCGCGGATGCTCCTCGGTCGGAACAGTTCCTTTGTCATCCAGTTTTGGAGACTGCGAAACCAAAACGACGGTGCTCTTCTTGCCACTGTCCGGCTCTTCGATCTGCATGCACATCTCCTCGCTGCCATCGCTGCCATCAAGGGTCAGGGGCGGAAGATCATTGAAGGAGGGCGTTGGGGAGAGAAGCGGTGACTCGAGTGGTGACTCGCGTGGAGACCATGCAGGCGAGGCCAAGGGCGATGATAGGAGCCTCTCACGCTTGGCGTCTTCCAATGCCGGCAGTACGATCCGCAGGCTACCATCGATCTTTGCCTTGCAAGCCCTGTGTCTCAAAATGAAAATCATAACCACTGGCATGATGAAGGTCCACAATACTGAGCCAAAGCCGGTGGCGATCCCAACAATCGATGTCACTGAGGGGAATATCACTGCCAGCGTGGCCGCGCACAGCATAATGCCCGCCGTGTGCATCACTCGTCGAGCAGGAGTCACTGGAGATACAGCCTGGAAAGTCACGAGGAGCGTGTGGAGACTTTGGAGATGTTTGGAGACTTTAATCCTCAAACAATTGCACATATTGGACTTATTGCAGGCCCTTTAGCAGCAACTTTGGGAGACTACAGCCACTTGGCCATGCCTTAGCGTCCTTGCCTTTGACGCCCCCGGCCTCTTGATGCACTCGGAATCTCGCGCCAGCCGCTCGGCCAAAGAGCAGCGCCAGGCAAATGGAACAAAGATTGCGCATCAGCGATCGCAGCGCGCGCAACACCTCTGGGGAGTGGCAGCGTGTGAATAATATATATATATATATACACTGCATGATATTACAAAACATTACATTACATGAAATAGATTACAATACAAAACACCACGTCATATCACATAAGATCACAATACATTACATTACGTTACGGTACCTTACGCTGCATTACCTTACACTACATTACATGACAATACATTAAATTACGCCATTGCAATACAGTAAATTACATTACATTACACTAGCGTACACTGCATACACTGCATACACACCATTACAGCGCTACCAATGACGCTTAGCGGAGGTGCTCTGCTTGCTGGTTGAAAACCACCCTGATTCCCGTCAAGCTTGATCTATGTTACATGCATTACGTACATCACATACATTGCATTGCACACCCACACACATTACGCACATTACACACATTACATCCAATACATACATTACATACTTTCCATACAAGACATACATTGCATGCAGTACATACATTACATGCATTACATACGTTACATATAGTACATACAGTACACACATTGCATACATATATTACAACTCTGCATACATACACATACAACTACACATACACACACGTAAGCATACACATACACATGCACATACACATACATACAAACATACATTACACACATACATACAGAACAACTTACATGCATACATTACATACGTGCATGCATTACATACATACATACATACATACATACATACATACATACATACATACATACATACATACATACGTACGTACGTACGTACGTACGTACATACATACATACATACATACATTACATTACATTACATTACATTACATTACATTACATTACATCACATACATACATCACATACATTACATATATGCATACATACATACGTACGTACATACATACGTACATACATACGTGCATACTTACATACATACATTGCATTACATTACATAACATTACATGACGTGATATTAAATTACATTACATACATTGCATTGCATCACATCACATTACATTACATTACATTACATTGCATTGCACACATACATAAATTACATACATTACATTGCTTTACATTAGATTACATTGCATTGCATTGCATTACATTACATTACAATACAATACATTACATTACAATTCAATACAATACAATAAATTACATTGCAGTACATTACATACATACATTGCATTACGTTACATTACAATACATTACATTACATTACATTGCACACATATATTACACTACAATACATTACATTACATGCCATTACAGTACAGCACGTACATACATTTACATTAGATTACATTACATTACGTTACATTACATTACGTTACGCTACGTTTCGTTACGTTAATTAAATATATTACATACATACATGACATAACATGACATGACATGACCTGACATGACATGACCTGACATTATAGTACTGCAATCTAAAGTGCTTCTGCGCTTTTGCACCTCTGGCAGCTGATCCCGCGCAGGCTGGACCCCCAGGGGTAGTGCCACGAGCAGGGAGCAGCCTGTGAGTAGCTGCGCCAGCGAGGCGGCTCGATGGTTCTCAGGGTAGGCCAGGAGGATGTTCTCTGGGGTGTGAGACCCATGGGCAATGACTCCGCAGGTAGCCACTGTTGCATAGAGCAATGAAAGGGACGTGCAGGATCGCAGCAGGATCTTGTTCAATCGCCGACTGTTGAAGTTGTTCAGCTGCTTGTAGACTGGGATCGCAACGTGCTGGCAGTATAAAGCGCTGAGGACCAAAGACCATGTCTGGGGCAGGACTTCCAGAATGCTAGAGCTTCGGCCTGATGCGATTACCGAGGTGTTTTCGCGGATTGGTTCTCCCACGGCACTGCTCACCACCAAGCTGGCCATAAAGGCTAGGCTAAGGAAAGAAATGATCGTTACATGGCGCAGCACTGACATGTCACGACTTGCAGCAGCTGGGAAAGCCGCTGCCACCACCACTAGGGCCATTTGGGCCTTTGACAAGCCACCAAAAACGGAGGGCAGCACCCTAGGCCAAAGATCGGAGAGGAACTTGATAAATGATGCTTGCCCACACAAGGCTTCACCCACCATAAGGCATGCTAAGGCCCGGCCCGCCACTGGACCAAGCACTGCTGATGCACTCTTGGCATAGGAGTCACGACCTGTGATGTGAGATATGGTAATGATGAGGCGCAAGGAGGTAGCCAAGCAGTATGTGCCGAAGAGCAGCGTGAGGATGCCTATGGGGATGCCCACGAGACTGAAAGCGTAAGGCAGCAACAGCACGCCGGAGCCGATTGCTGCTGACATCAGCGTGAAGATGGATCCCCGCAAAGAGCCTCGCTGCATCGGCCCCAGGGTGCGCTCTGCCCATGACCGCGGAGATCGCGGAGACCGCGGCAAAGAGTGGGAGCTGTCCATGGCACAAGTGAAGCGGATGCAATGCGCTTGCTGAAACCTCGTAATTATTCGACAGCGCGTTCGAAAAACACCTTGCATGGGCAATATGCAACACATGCAGTCACTAATGTACTTCTGCTTGCTTTGAGCAACACGTCACTGCAAATGTCAAAACTTTGTGTGAGTGCCAGTCAAGTGGTCACGGCCGGCACCCTCAATGTTTTGCAGAAGGCTATGAAAATGGGCCTCAATGCAGCTGCCTCGTTCTTCCACAGATCCCTTGGTATTCCGCACAAAACTCAACAGAACATGCGATCCTGAGTCACAGGGATCTAAGTTGCAGACGTCAACAAATCCCTGGCATATTGAGGCAATGCCAAGAGCTCCTGAGAAGGCAACTGCTTCTATACAATGCCATGGCCGTTGCAATTTGTGCAAGTTCTCCTTGGATTTCTTGTCAGGCTTGACAAAAAGAGCCTCGTAGCCCTCCTTTCGCCATTTCGCATGCGCCTGTGCTGTGGCTCACTTCAACACCAGGCTGACTGAGGCCCAGAATAGAATGCAGTTCCAGCAAACCATGCACACTCAATCCAATAGCTCAGTGTGGGGTTCGTCTTGGCCCAGCAGCCGTCCCTGTCTCCAAAAGCATAGGCCAGCCTTGCAGCGTGCGCAGGAATTCGGCATTTCAGCAAAGAAGCTGGCAATGACCTCAGGCAGTGCGCTACGTGTACAAGGTGATCCAGTGATCCAGCACGACAAGACACAGCGCAGTCAAGCATTGCCGGCTGAGCATCTCACTGCTCGCAGTGCTTCTATGGAAGCAGAGTTCTGGCACACTGAAACTGCACGAAGCACATGTTTGCTGAAAGGGAGTAGCTTATTCCGCTGCGGTTGAGCTTGGCTTAAAGCCATTGCCCATCCCAGTCCCGTCCTGTCGTCCTGCTCCGCTCGGCGTCTTTGCATCCGCTTTCTGTGCCTTGCAATTGCAAGGTGCCGGGCCAATCTTGAATGTTGCCTCTGAGGACAAGGTGGCAGTATACAGGAAAGCTGCAAAACTGGCATTCGCAACTCTTGGCGAAGAAGGATTTTGACATTCACGCCTTCTCCCGTGCAGAATCCAGCTTTTTGATGAGCGAATCAATAGCCTGGCAATGCAAACGCCTCGCCAAAACTCTCGGCTATAGGAAAATAGCCCCTCCTGCCCCGTTTCCTTCACATCACGCTCTGGAAGAATCTCCCTCTTCATCGACACGCCTTGGCCCCACTTGAAGCCATGGCACTTTAGATGGACAAAGCTAGCCCGTTTCTTCAGTTCCAGCTTGGAGCTTGGGGTCTGAGCCTTCTTTGGTAATCTCTTCAATCACCAAAGTCATGCTCTCGGAGTGGGCAGCATCGCTCAGGAAGGCAGACCTGGAAGAAGCTCTCTGAGACTAAAGGTGCTGCTTGATTGGCCTTGACTTCATTGCCGGAGCAGGTGGTGCTGGTAGATCGCCAGGTAGCAACCCTTGCAGGTGTAGTACCTAAACATTGTTTCCAGCTTGTGATTGGCAGCTGGCGACAAACAATGCTGACGTCACTGCAAGAGGAAAATCTCAGGGCAGCGCAAGCGCAGCAGTCACGGCCTCTTCCCATCAAGTGAAAGTGAAACAAGTCAGACAAAACATCCTCGCGGACTGGAAATCATACCCATCCATTGACATGCTTCACGCGTGTGGCCCTACGAGCGCCACCGAAATCAACGTTTCCAACCAGCGGAAATCGCAATCCAAAATAGGTGTTTTTCTTTCTTGGCAACGCTCCTGTTGTTGCACCCCGTTTGAAGCGGTGCCTGGAGCATCTGGTGCTCTCAGCGCTACCATGTTCGCATGTTAGCGGACTCAGCTGAAACACCTGATGACCATTGGTGAGTCAATAAATCATTGGGTGGACAGTCGAGTTGAAGTCATTTGAACGTTGTCATCCACATTTTGCCACTAGTGGCCTAAGTTCAAGCTACTGGACTTAGTTAAACCACATTGACATAGTTCCCGTGTGCCTGTCAATTGAAACAAACGGTTTCCATGGACGCGCGTACTTGATTTTGTGCTGTTTCACTGACGATCACATCTGTACAACCAGCTTCTTCACGCTGACATCATCATTAGTTCCCAAGAGACTGCAAACACCGCGCATAGTCTGACCGTGTGCCGGAAAATGGCTATTGACAGCGTGCAGCCAAACGCCTCGTGGCACTTGAACTTGTGGCAGTTGAGGCACGTCCTGAACTGAATCACTTTGTGCCGTACCGTTCATGTGAGCAACTTCTCCAAATGCAAACAGCAGGCTTAGCTCAAAGCTGTCTCAGCAGCTTCAGCAAAGGCGCGATCAGGAACGGGTTGTATAGCCTGAACCATGCTGCCAAATGTCAAAATTGAATGGTAACAGCACGCCGAGAGTTAGGATTTGTTTTTCGCGTGAACATGTCCAGTTCAGCATTGTACGGGCAAATTCACTGAAGCTGGGCTCTTCACTTTTGTTGCTCAGGGAAGAGCCAACATGGCAAAGGCAGGCAAGTCTAGAATGACAAAAAGCCGGGGCTCAAGCGGGCTGGATAGCTCAATGTGCCTCAGAAGCAAATAACAACAGCACTACTCACGACGACTCTCGTCAGGTGCTGTCCAATTGAAATATCATAAGAGAAGCACCCCATGTGGCCTGGACAGTCCTGGTCCAGACCACATGTCTGGCACACCATGCTGCCTGGAGACAATGCCATGCAGGATTTCTACATCGAAGGGCATAAGCCCCGTGCAGTTCCTGAAGTCCTTCAAAGGTCCCATTTCCAGCCTTGCCCATAAGTCAGAGTACGCAACGCATATGTGTGCCAAAACGGAGCGTGCCATCATATAAGCTGTTGGCGAGTGTAGCCCGCCACTAATTGGCGCTCCCCACTCGTCGTTGGTGGAGAGGTCGTTGATCTCATATGTTCACTCAAAGTACAACTCTCTCTCTCTCTCTTTCTCTGTCTCCTTCTCTCTCTCTCTCTCTCTCTTTCTCTCTGAAACCACTTTGTGCCGATTCCGGGAAGCAAAAGCGGACAATGCCATGACACCTCCACAGCGCTGAGGTTCTTCACCTCCTGTAGTGTTGGCTTATCTCGCTTCCGAGCGTGTTCTCTAACTACATACAGGGAATACGAGCAAGCCGCTTGCATGATGCCATCAGTGAATCGCATCCCTGTTTTCAACGTAGATATTACGTCACACATCTTGGCCATCATCTGGGAGGTACTTGTTCTGTTGCCAATCAAAAGCATTGGAGAAAGTATGTGAGAACGAACTGGGGATGGGAGCAGCAGAGATGACTTCGATTCAGCAGGATAGAATCGAATGGCAATCAAACAAGCAAAACACATCTTTGCCTTCTTTAAATCCCTGCTAGTTATCATACAGCAGCAAACAAGAATGCGCCGACTGCGTGATGATCTCCCCCTCCTCGGGCGAGAAGTACATGAATCCCACCTCTGTTGCCTCCGAGTCTCAATGCACGCCGGAAACGATCGAACACGTGTTCCTCCCGCCTCCCGGCCACATGACGACGCGGGTAAGTCATAGGGCGTCCCGAACTCCATGTGTTTCACACTCCTGCGCTGGTGCGGTGACACCAAAACTTGTCTTACCCATGCAAGGCCTCCCAAAAGCTCTACTTCAGGTGGATGTCCAATGCCATGGTGCTGCGAGCAGCATTTGGGCATTGCTCAATGGTCATCTAATCAGGCTGATAAGTAGTGTGCTGGTCCAATAAGTTGTGTGAGGTAGGGTCTTTAGTGACATGGCTGCTGGCAAAACGCAAATGTCTAGTGTCCTTCGAACAAGCTGGTCATGTTTGCAGTTCTGGGATGGTTCTGAGTGTGGTTCCAAGTTGCATTGTCATGACACTGGGTTGTATAAGTAATTCACGGGCCAGGATTCGAAGGATTGCAGGGTGTCGACATCTTCAATCGCAAAGGGTGCATGCCTGTTGGCAATTAGTCTGTCATTGCGGTGTATCTTGAGCATTCATCATGACGGCATGCAATGACTCCAAGCAGCTGCGCAAACCTTGAAGAAAATTCGATCGGGCGAATTCAGTACAAATCGACGAGCTGGCATTCGGAAGAACTGGAGACAAGATTCATCCCAGGAGCGGCAATCTTTGAATACCAACTTTGCAATACTCCAAAGACCATACATAGTCTCCAAAGAAAAACGCCTGATGGGAAAGCACAATGAAGTGTACGCGTGTAGATGTATTGAATTTAGTACATCTATATATATGGTCCCGTGTTCCGTGTTGCTACCCCCCCCCCCCCCATATGGTATGGGTCCCCCAGGACCCCCCCCCGGATCCTGTCACCTACGCTCCCACCCCCACCCCGACCCCCTGAACTCGCACCCCGACACCCCGACACCCCGACACCCCCACCCCCAGGACACCCTAAACTAACCCCAAATGCACCCTAAACCAATCCCTAAACAATAAACCCTAAACCTAAGCCAACCCTAAACCAACCCTAAACTAACCCTAAACCAACCCTAAATACACCCTAAACAATAAACCCTAAACCTAAGCCAACCCTAAACCAACCCTAAACTAACCCTAAACCAACCCTAAATACGCCCTAAACCAAACCCTAAACCGTAAACCTAAACCAACCCTAAATCAACATACACCAACCCTAAACCAACCCTAAACTAACCCTAAATACACCCTAAATATACCCTATAAACCAATTCTAAACCAACTCTAAACCACCACAACCCAACCACAGGACCACAACCACAGGGGGGGGGGGGGTACTTGTCTGACCCATGACCATTGGTGGGGGGGGGGGGCTGGCAACGCTGCACCATATATATTTATATATGTCTACATATTATGCTCCTTCCCTCTCCCCCTCCAAGGCCCACCTTTGAAAACTTGATAAGCGCAGCATAAACTTGTGATGCAAATGTCCGTTGCACGTTTGCAACTTTAGGCTTGACTTCCTGCTTTAGGCAAAACCGTCAAATTAGCGTTTCATCCGAACACTTTGAGAGTGTTGCTGGCTTTCAAAGTGTGGGCCAATGTTCAAAAAGCGCACTGTGGCAGCTCAAGCTCTAAAGCCCGCACCGCGACAACCAAAAACAAAGAGATAGGGGTTCATCTATCTATCTCTCCCTCTCCATCCATTTATCTATCTAGCCTTCCATTCAACTATCTATCTATCTATCCATCCTCCATCCATCCAATCTATCTCTCTCTGTCTAGCTATCCATCTATCTAGCTCTCTCTTTCTAGATGTATATATATATATATGAAATGTATCTAGTTGTCCGCCTATGTGTCTATCTCTCTCTCTCTCTCTCGCTCTCTGTCTATCCATCTATCTCGCTATCTATCTTATCTCTCTATCTATCTTTGTATTTGTGTACCCTCCTGCTGGAGTTCTCTCCTTGTGGCTATCTCTCTATCTCTCTCGCTCTCTCTGTCCACCTATTTATCTGTCTATCTACCCATTTGTCTATCCACTTTCCAGGCAACTGTTTATTCTAAAGTTTTTTACTTGGGCCCTTGTTATGGGCCGCTAATGGCTGAAAAATACATACACTATATATACCCCTTATGTATTGGGTACGTAGCACAAGGACCAGGTGGCTGGATGTGTGCGTTTCTCAACTGCTGCCTCTGGAGTAGCAATCTTTGACGACAGCAATCTTGAAAGGTTCCAACTCCATTGGGACTCTTCGTGCTAAGCCCCCAAACCCCGGTCCCAAAAATAGGGGCCCATTCAGGAAACCCACTGGCACAGACAGTTTCCTGAATGGGCCCCTATTTTGGGAACTCAGATGTTTGGGTCCTTGGTTGCCCTTTTGCTGAATCAAACTTGCAGATTTGCGTTCGTTGGAACTATCGTCTCTCTCGCCCGAAAACCACAAAAATAATGGCCCATAACAGTGGCCCATGTAAAATTCTTTAGATTTATGGGCTCTATCCATCTATATGTCTTCTATCTTTCTCTCTGTCTCTCTCTCTCTCTCTCTCTTCTCTCTTCTCTCTTCTATCTACCTATCTATCGACCTTGCGAAAGGGCTGCCCGCCACGCAGTTTAAACCTTGCGAAACCTTCGAGATGCCATGACAACACCGCGAGCCGAGACCGCGCGCAGAGAGGGAGAAGAGCACGCGCACAGAGAGGGAGGTAAAGGGAGAACTCTGATGCAGACCCGCCACTCTTTTTCGCGGTTTGCATTCCCTACTACATGCCCCCCCATGTTTTCTCGCAGGCCTTCTTGCTTGCTTCGTCCTATCTCTGCGCAAAAATACCTTTCACTTAGCGTCCGTACTACGGAAGTTCTGTCTAAACTTTCTTCGAAGACTAGCATCATTATTACTCTTCGCATTATTCGCATTACTATCATGTGGCACAGCGGCAGCTTTTGTCTCGCTTCATTTGTGATGCTTGTTGCTCACGGGCCTGAGAGAACCATGGAGTTGAAAGATTCCAGACTTTCAAATCCCAGGGCCAGCATTGCTTCTGCCTCTCAGTCCGGCACCCTTTCTTCTTCTCGTTCATGGCCACTTTCACTGCATGCCGACCTGGCGACGCTTTCAGCAGAGTCTTGGCTCCGTCGGGTCCGTGCTCAGCAGAGCATACTGAAATGTGTCGATCACGGTACAGAGTTGGCCTGTATAAAGGCCAAGTCGGGCGAGGCACCTCCACGTCCAATGCCAATGATGTAAAGCCTGCACAACAGCTACCCACACACTGCTATGCCTGCATCAGACAATGGGCTCACAGTCCTTACATTGTAGCATGCTTCCTTCCACGCAATGGGCCAAACTTGCTCTCGCAAAGAAAGCACCGTTTTGCAAGCCTGATGCATGCTCCAATGAAAGAACTTGACACGGACCCGATGTGTGAAATTATGTTTCCTTGAGACCTGGCTTCAAAGGCTTCCACCCTTCTCTTTCTTTTCTTCTTTGTTTTCGTCTTTCTTTCTTTCTTTCTTTCTGTCTTTCTTTCTTTCTTTCTTTCTTTCTTTCTTTCTTTCTTTCTTTCTTTTCTTTCTTTCTTTCTTTCTTTCTTTCTTTCTTTCTTTCTTTCTTTCTCTCTTTCTCTCTTTCTCTCTTTCTCACTTTCTCTCTTTCTCTCTTTCTCTCTTTCTCTCTTTCTCTCTTTCTCTCTTTCTCTCTTTCTCTCTTTCTCTCTTTCTCTCTTTCTCTCTCTCTTTCTCTCTTTCTCTCTTTCTCTCTTTCTCTCTTTCTCTCTTTCTCTCTTTCTCTCTTTCTTTCCTTCCTTCTTTCTTTCTTTCTTTCTTTCTTTCTTTTCTTCTCTCCTTTTGTATCTCTCTCTCTCTCTCGCTCTGCGGATGTACTTTCGACTTGCATCTAAATTCCTTCCATATTGCATGGCCCCGAAAACTAGTGTCGTAGGTCTTTCCAGACTGGCTCGTGTATCGGGAGCACTGGGTTGGGCCCACATTGACATGACAGGCCCTCTTTGAAAAGACCACTTACGTTGCTGCTAGCGAGTGCGGGTGGTTGTACTCTCCTGTTGTTGGGCCTTGTAAAGAACAAGCAAGCTTTTGCTAGGCTCCAGACTCCACTGACGTCTTTGCTTTGTCTTCTGCAGATTCACCGCCAGTGTGTAACTGGGCATCGCTGCAGGAACCAGACGAAACAGAATAGGCTGGCTCGACTTCATTCAGCCAGCCATGAGGTCAATGCAGAAAATCGCTACTCCGTCATGCACATCTGCAAATAAATGGCAATTGTAGTTTCTGTCCACCCTATTGAGGTCAAAAGGAAATTTCACAAATAAACATGGCAGCACCAGCAGAGAGCACATTTCTGCTCGCTACACGAACGCTGGCAATATCATCTTAGAAAGCCAGCACGCTCAACAAAAACATGCTCAAGCCAATTTTTGCCCTGGAGACTCTGCCGCTGTCCGAAATGAGCGCTGCACATACTTGTCTTTCTTTGCAACTGTCACCATCTCCTCAGCAAAGCCAAGGGCAAGCACACCTATGATGCATCAGGAGTGAAAACTGTTGGCAAAACAAGTCTGGAAATGAGGAAACAACTATGACAAAGCGCACAAGCAAGTCGATACAACCAAGATTTCACCAACTCCTCGCTGCCTGCTTTCAGTACAGTGGAATGAAATATGAAGCTAGCCGTCTCGATGCAGGACTGTATGGCGACAGTGCTAACAATTGGAAAGGAAAGCAAGCAACGAAGACTAGGCAAACTGCAGACTGCTGTGGGTCGCATGAGCTGGGAGCTTTCAGAGAAGCATGGATTTGGAAGGTTTGGAAGCACATCAGAATGACAAAGCTATGTGAGAAGTGCGCTCGGGGACTTCAATGGGTACTTGCCATTTGGCTGGCATGCAGGCAGTGCTGAACGGGTGTCGCTTTTTATTGGGCAGGGGTGTGTTCGTAGTTCTGAGAGCAGCTACGCCTCAAGCACGCGCGCAGTGCTGAGTGGTTTGTTGGAGCGAATAGTTGATCATCTGGCAGTGCGAGCAATGCAGGCATCGTTTTGGAAGGCCTGCGCGCTGCGCTGAGGGGGCGCGCTGGAGCAGGGGCGCTTGCTCGGACAGCGCGTGCGCAGTGCTTTGCGACTACTCTGGAGAAAGCGTGCTTGCCAAACCTTGTCGTTTGGCAAGCATGCAATGTGTGCAACGCTGACGGGCGCTCTTCAGCGTGCGCATTTGGCAGCACGTCCAAGCATCTCCCGCAAGTCAGCCTACCGCATTCCTGCTTGAGCTGCCCCTTCTCCAGCATTGTCTGCTCGCATCTGCTCACTTAACATGCTCACCTCTCGTCGCTTACATCCGGAATCACACGCTCTGTCTCTCTCTCTCTCTCTCTCTTGCTCGCTTCCTGCATTTGACTTTCAGCAAAGCTGGACCGCATATCAGGTTTCACGCCCTCGCATCTTTGAGCTGAACATCTAGTGGTGACATCTTTCTGCGCGATCTCTCAAGCTTTCTTTCTTATGCTCTCCTGAAACATGCCAAAATGCGGCATGCGTCAAGTTGACAAGCTCGGAGTGCAAAACAAACCATAGTTGCAGCTTCGCGGCATTGTTCAGGAAGCGCTTGGTCTGTCCCTGGCACACAAGGTACTCCAAGAGAAAGTGCGTGTGCAAACTTGGCAGCTGGCTTCCCAGCGTCAGCACATGAGCCAGTGAGCCATGCACATCAAGTCCTGGGCCTTGCTGGATTTGTTCTTCCACGCAGACTTCATGAATTGGCGCTGTCCCATGGTCCTTGAGCAAGGAGTCGCAAAGCAAATGGAGGGACCGATTTGCACACTTAGAATAGCTGACACAGCTGCGCCATCTGCGTTTCTCGAGCTAACTCTGTCACCCCTGGGGCGCCGGCTTCCGGCGAACATGCGCCAGAGTGTTGGTGCGCCTGAGCAAAAACATCAGCCAAAGGAAGCGTCTTTAACATGACCAGGTTGATCGCGTGTCATGCAACAGTTTCTGGATGCTTAGAGGCGAGGATGATGTCGGCTCTCTTTGGCTGCATTTGCTCATCCTCAAAGTTGCACTTCTGCAACCACCTAACATACCTTGACCAGGTCTCCCCAAACGAAGCAATGCTGAGATGGAGGAAAGCGACCAATGGCGTCAGCCTAATGCTGATGCCTTCATGAAACCCCTGATTAAAGACTTGTTGCATTGCCGGCCGACTGCAACCTTCAAGATCTTTGAAGCACCCAAGATTTGGCCAAAAGTGTCCTGTCTAATTCGGTTTGGGCACCCACCACAATCCTCAGAGGAGAGGTCACAGGAGCCCAGGGACTCCGAAAAAAGGTTTTCCAAATCCTCTTCCACCTTGATCGGAGGAGAGGGCTTGCGCTGTTCACGATACAGAACGAACACCAGGTCAAGACACAGCAAGCTGTGAGCTCAGCATTTTGTTTTGTCACTTCGCCACTGACAAGCATAGGATGACGCAGCTTGCAGCATCGGTGCGACGCAATGCTGTTGTCACGTGGGATTAACTCTGAAGGTCATCGGAGTCATTGTCACCAGTGCCAGCGTCCCATAGCTTCCAAGGCTATTCTAGTTTGCGTAGCTCTGCTGTCAGTCTTGGAACCAGCTCCGCGGCAAACTTAAGGTGACCCAAGGCAGTGAGGTGGATGCCGTCGGTGAAGTCCGCATTACAATCCAGCCAGGGTGCGTCAGGGGGTCCTGATGTGACTCTGCAGGGTGACCAGGGGCCCCTTCTTTGTGACCATGCAGCCCAATCAAAGCTGATCCCTGCAAAGTTTTTGGTTGGTCCCCTAGGTCATTTCAGAAGTGAAACTTTTGGCTCGTGCTTGCCCTGTTCAATTGGCTTATCCTTCTTTGTTGGTCCTGTGAATTGAAGGCGCACCTTCTTGTCCTCAAGGCCCTTGACAGCTTCTGTGAGGCTTTCAAGCATTGTCTGCCATTTGGACTCTTGAGAACAGCTGTACAAGAGAGGCACAATGCAAAGTACCATTGCTTGAGGATACTTGCTCCTGACAAGCATCAGAAACTCCACATAGGCGGACTGAAATTCTGCGCCAGATGGACTGCCAAGGTGAAAGTCATTTGTTCCCAAATAAACCAGGACCACATCTGCTTGCCAGAGTTGAAAGTCCCACAACGTCGTGCACCACAGGCTACTCCATTGGCGGCATGGAAATCGATCCTTCATACCCAGACCAAATTCATTGGGCAGAACTCCTATGCCTGACTTTGCCACCACACGCCAATCAGTAGTGTTCCAGGCATCTGCAACATGTCGCACCCACGACTTGAACACATCCTGCGACGTTTGCACTGCTGACAAACTTGCTTCAATGGCTGCGGTTTGTCTTGTCTGCAGCGCCACCGCCAAACAGCATCGAGCTTTCAAACGCTTGCTCAACTCTTACTCTCCCATCCTGATCCGCCAATCCAAGGATTCCTGTGCTTGAACAACATCACTAGTTACTTGATACATCACTACCTACTTGATCCTAGCGGTCCTAACGCGTCCTCGTTGCTCTCATTGCCGTGTGCCCCAGACCGCGCGGGCGCCTCAGCTGCCGCTCCAGCGGCAATAGAATCGCCCACCACCTCCAGGCGGAGGCCACGAGGTGGCAGCGGATCCTGAGTCGAGACACATGCAGCACTGACTTCAAGGGCAGAGCACCACACACGCACAACTCAACATGTGAATCTGACCAACAACAAAAAAGCAACAATTGCAACCCATTGCGAGTCAAACCGGGCAAAATGGCAGGCGCATGTTTTATGTGAATTCGCGCAGGTCGCAGGTACTCCCTAACATTGTGTGAATCTAGGTGCTCATCACGAACGCACTTGTCTACATTGGCTGAAGACGCGTTAGCGTATGCTGCGGTATCAACTGGTCCGTTCGCCCTTCACATGCGGCGCATTTTGTCTCCAAACGACAAAGTCAGATTGACAAAGGTGGGACACGGCCAGGAAGATTTCGACTAACACGACACGGCCAGAAACTGTAAGTAGG